TAGTGGCCATACTACGTACCGCAGGGAAGGGTCGACTCACTTGCCAGTAACAGGAAAATCACTTGTGTTAACATCAGTTCCGGCATGGCCCTCAGAATAAGCCTGGGGAGGACACGCCTAATCATGTAGACCCCCACCCCCACCCAATCCCATGCCCGTTGTTTTCGGGGAGGGGGGGGGAGGGGACGAGGCCTTGCAGCACCCCTGCCTTGGACCTCAGCCTTCGCTTCAACTAATTTTGCATGGTCTTTTCTTCCCCTCCTTTCCATTTCCTTTTCTTCATCCCCTTCCTCTGTCCACATCCTAAAATGTGAGAGCCGTGCTGAAAGGATGAAAGACTGGCTCAATCTTGAACAACCTTGACATTTCATCATTACCCTTTTCACTACCATATTAACCAACAGCGCTCTACAACCATTGATATCCAACATCTTTTGTCCTAATTGTAAACTTATTTGCAACCGCTTTGCCACAATACTGTATCATAATTCTGTATGACCTTTTCTTACCTGTTAGCTTCGCCCCTAAGCCTTGCCCTATTGCTATATTTTGTATACGTCGGTAATGACCTTAAATGTTGGCGCGGCAGAATTTTGTCAGTAAATGAATAAATCATGTAGATGCGAATTACTCGACACGCAGACGTATGAAATGGAGGAAGAGATGCCTTCACAAGAGTAATTTATTTGAAGGTGGTGTCTGTTTAACATTCATTTAAAACTGGAAAGATTTAATGAAAGAGGTCTTGTAATACTTTGTAGAGCATTCTTTGTGGCGACTTCCCTTTAAAGTGTAAAGTCTGAGTTTAGTCTGGAGGAGGAAACTTACTTGTGTCCATCAGAGACCGCTTACGTCAGGCCCCTACGTGCCCAGAACACCCAGGGGAAATGGCGTGTCGTTGTCAACAATTTCGATGCCCATTATCAGACTCTCACTCAGACTACATTATCAGTACGTCAAGTTGTATTGCACATCATACGAAAGGTCTCCAGACTTCATCAAAGGCTTTGCTGATATCCATTGTAATAAATAATGTTCAAGCAGTGTTCTGTAGGTTCTACATGAATTAAAGCCGTTGTTTAGGTCTGCCATTAGTGGTAGTCGTAGCCGTTTTCTGTAGGACACCTGAATGTGTAGTGTGTGATGAAGTCTCGTGACTAGAGTGGTGCTTAACAATGCAGTTGGTGTTTGAAAAGTAGTTTCATTTGTGGCTGAAAACAAATGATCTTACCAAGTGCCTAAATGGTGGATATTCTCAAAGTCGGCATGGAAAAGCGTATTATATATCGTTGCCTTTAGGGATGTGATGTTTCTGTTTGTGAGATGTTGAAATCTTGTAGTGTGATCACTGCTTGTGATTAGACGTTGATGTGGACTTCATCTAGTTTTTGCACTTATAGTTGGTTGTAGTCTGGTACGGTAGCGAAATGAGTCTGAATATGCGCGTTGTGATGATAGGTTGGTGTTCAGAAGGTAGGTCACTGAACCTTCCCCACATGGTTGTAATTGCGAGGGGGGTTTATGATTGTGATAATTTGTGTTGTATTCTGAGTTTTTTTTTATGTGTGTTAGTGAGCGTATCGAAGTGTTTTATGGCACTGTGTATATGTGATGCGCATATGACCACACCATCTTCACTGTGTCTTGCTTAATATGTTCAACAGTGCAGTAGAGCACGTTAGGAGTTATGTTTGTGGGCGACACAATGTGTGTTTGTGTGTGTGTGCATGCGTGTAACTTTCTATATTTTGTGCGAATCCCATTAATGTTATACTGCAAGATGTAAAGTAACTGCCTGGACTAGTGTTCATATTGTGTTTGTGCAGGCATCAGATGAGGATGAAGATGGTGTTGATGAATGGTGCTGCAAGACATTAGATTTGGTTGCGTTGTCTGGTGTTGGAATTTTTGTTTTGTTTGAGAGAGATTGCGAGTAAAAGGTTTTGATTACAGAAGTCTTGTCTCACTTTAGCAGAATTTGAACTTGGAAAGAAATATTCTTACGAACATGTGAAAGAGGCGTTTTTGCGTCCGACGTTGGGTGATGCAGTTTCTATTCGCTAATAACCTAGTATTTATAAGTAATGAAAAAATATTCACATAAGCCATCCAAATGTCAGAATATATCGGTCAAGACCATCAGTTCCCAATGCAGCACAGAAACCTGCTGTTAGGCAAACGAACAATTTACCTTTTACTATACTGTTACTCCTTGTCTCTCTAAATCGAGAATATATCTGCTATTCTATGAAATAAAGAAAAGTCTGAGGAATTCTAGCAACATTCTTCTGTTGATATTGTACTCGATGTTTTGTTATATTTAACCTCATAAAATCGGATATATGGGAATGGGTAGGCCTATATTTTAATTAAGGGATGTTCATTTGTTTTGATAACGCGTCAGAATGAAAGGGCTGTCAATCGGAAGTGTGTGTCATTGTTTTAGAGGTACTTTATATGAATATAGGAGAAAATACTGCGCTTTGTTAAGATGTTTGGGTAGATTTACTTTGCCACCTTGAAGCGGCGCTAGCTTGTCAGCTGTTTTGAAATGTGCGCTCAAACTGTTACCAACCGCCAATTAAATAAACTCCACTCTCGATTTATGCATTAGTTATCTCTTTCCGAGATTGTTAGTGGGAATACTTGTCTATTGCTTTTAAAACCCAAGTATGTATATGCTGTGTGTTATTTTGACATTTCTATGTTCTCCAATGACTGTTATGATTTGTACTTTATAGAAAAACACTTCCACATGTCTGGCATCACTGAACAGGGCCTGCCTGCCTTGGAAAGCGTTTTAAGCAGGGAACGGTACAGTTCTTGGCCTATTGGCAAGACTTCTTGCTCAAACGCTCCCCTGCTTAAAACGCTTTTAATAAGAGGTAAATTGTTCGTCTTATAATGATTTATTATTTTTAAGTAAAACTTTTTATTCCCATAATCCCCATTATCTCCTTACTTTTTCAGTTAAGACAGGGAAAATTCTTGCCTGAAATCTCGTGTTTTTCTTGCTAACTCAAGCCTTTCGCTTGCTTTCTCAAGCGACCTCCGTAGATGGCTAGACTTGAAGCCTTTTAAGCAGGGAAAGTTCTTGCCTGAAATCTGAAGCGTTTTTCTTGCTAGCTCAAGCATTTCGCTTGCTTTCTCAAGCGACCTCCGTAGATGGCTAGACTTGCGCTTGCTAGGTCAAGCGGTGCACTGCACCGTCACCATGGCAACAGTGTCGGTCGCGTACCGTACTGGTCACGATCCTTCGAATGCGGGCGTTGGCCAGGAACTCGGCTTAATATCTTATAAGATATATCATTTTTTCATGGTAATTTTCTTAAAATCATATTCAAAGAAATTGAAATTAACTGAAAACGAAAGTAGATAATGGAGATTATGGGGGAAAAAAATGTTTCAATTATAAATAATAAATTATTATAAGACGAACAATTTACCTCTTATTGTTAAACTCCTCCTCTCTCTAAATCGAGAATATATCAGCTAATCTAAAGAATATTTCAAGTGAAAAAAGTCTGAGAAATTCTAGCAACATTCTTCTGTTGATATTGTATTCGATAATTTGTTATATTTAACCTCATAAAATCGGATATATGGGAATGGGTAGGCCTATATTTTAATTCAGGGATATTCATTTGTTTTGATAACGCGTCAGAATGAAAGGGCTGTCAATCGGAAGTGTGTGTCATTATTTTAGAGGCACTTTATATGAATATAGGAGAAAATATTGCGCTTTGTTAAGATGTTTGGGTAGATCTACTCTGCCATCTTGATGCGGCGCTAGCTTGTCAATTGTTTTGAATTGCGCGCTCAAACTGTTACCAACCGCCAGTGAAATAAACTTGTGCTCGACTTGTGCATAAGTTATCTCTTTCTGAGATTATTGGTGGGAATACTGCTGTATATTTTGTGTGGTATGTTGATATTTCTATGCTCATCAAGGACTGTTATGATTTGTACTTTATAAACAGACACTTCCACATGTCTGGCAGCATCATTGAACAGTGCCTGCCTGCCTTGAAAAGCGTTTTAAGCAGGGAACGGTACAGCGCTTGGCCTATCGGCAAGAATTCTTGCCCAAACGCTCCCCTGCTTAAAACCTTTTTAATTTCAATTTCTTTGAATATGATTTTAAGAAAATTACAGGATCAGATACCGTGAAAAAATTATTTCTCTAAGATATTAAGCCGAGTTCCTGGCCAACGCCCGCATTCGAAGGATCGTGACCGGTACGGTACGCGACCGACGCTGTTGCCATGGTGACGGTACACCGCTTGACTTAGCAAGCGCAAGTCTAACCATCTACGGGGGTCGCTTGAGGTAGCAAGAAAAACCCTTGAGATTTTGGCAAGAACTTTCCCTGCTTAAAACACCTCTAATAAAGGTGTTTATAATAATAAGGCGTAATAAGTTAAATTTAAGGTTGTTTATACGAATACATTCTTATCCGACACAGTTTGTAATCTGTGAAACGGCGTAATATTCGAATAAAGCTATTTTTTAAAATAAAATTCGTAATAATGGGGATTCAGAGTCTTTCACAAAAAAAAAAGCAATAGAAAACTACCTTAGACATATATATTTATAATTTTCCTTTTGTTGCAGTAATATTTCACAAAGTGACATGAAAGTCACACTTTGGTGTCGGCATGGAAGTAAATGCAGAGGTGAGATGTGTGAATTTTTGTCCTTGATTTATTAACTTAATTGCCCTCAAAACATATAAATTCAAATGAGAAGAGGTCACACTAAAGGTAATTTCGGTATATGTCGAAATCCTGCCAGCTTTCGTTTAGACGAAAAATAACATATGCAAATGATAGAGCGAGTGATTTTAAGAAACTTCATCTTCTATGAACTTCAACTGCGACTCAATAATAACGAAGTTATTAGACACGCAAGTATCTAATAACTTTGCTTCCAAAAAAACGGAAATTATACCGTATTATTTCGGTTATGAACACATCTCTTGGTTCCAGAGGACGGGAAACTCGACCATAAGGTTACGTTTTTATGCAATAGATGACGAAATAGTTACTTCAGTAACCATATGGGACAATAACTACTATCAATTGGCAGACTAATAAACGTCATACTAGTTTACATATATCATTCCACTCCATCATCCGAGGCTATCGGTGTAATCGCGAGAACTACGCAAAACCCGCCACCGCTCACTGTTCATGGTATACCCTGTTCATCCTGATAGACTAAAATCGTCTCAGTATACAATGCTGACTATTTCAAGGTTAGTATGCTGCTTCAGTTCCAATACCTTTATAATTGTGTAACGCTCTATCCTACCCTGAATACATGGTGGATTCTTTGTATGCTAGGCGGGGTTGGGGGTGGCAACCCCCCCCCTCCCTGGGGGTTACAGGGGGCACAGCCCCTTGCAATGAAAAGTAATGTGAATTGTCCTCATTATTTTCATTGTTGGTTATATTATTAGTGTTGTTTAACCCCGCATTTTCCCTGGAACCTTTCATACCCTCCCCTGCTATTGGGGCCAAAGGCGTTTTAAGCAGGGAAAGTTCTTGCCTGAAATCTCAAGCGCTTTTCTTTCTAACTCAAGCATTTCGCTTGCTTTCTCAAGCGACCCCCAGTAGATGGCTAGTCTTGAGCTTGCTAAATCAAGCGGTGTACCGTCACCATGGCAACAGCGTCGGTCACGTACCGTACTAGTCACGATCCTTCGAATGCGGGCGTTGGCCAGGAACTCGGCTTAATATCTTATCAGAAAAATATTTTTTTTCACAGCATCTGATTCTGTAATTTTCTTTAAGTTATATTTAAAAAAGTTAAATTAACTGAAAACGAAAGGAGATAATGGAGATTATGGAAATAAAAAGTGTTTTACTTATAAATAATAAATCATTATAAGACGAACAATTTACCTCTTACTGTACTGTTACTCCTCGTCTCTCTAAATCGAGAATATATCTGCTATTCTATGAAATAAAGAATATATCAAGTGAAAAAAGTCTGAGGAATTCTAGCAACATTCTTCTGTTGATATTGTATTCGATAATTTGTTATATTTACTCTCATGGTAGTGGTTACGGAGACGGACGCGCGTAGATAGAGAGAAATGGACACCACCATGTTATAGAGCGGAAAAAATAGAGTGGGATGGAACATAGTATAAGTTGCGCCGGACTTATATTTACCGTTAAATGGAAAAAAACGCTAGCTTGTCAGTTGTTTTGAAATGCGCGCTCAAACTGTTACCAACCGCCAATGGAATAAACTCCACTCTTGATTTATGCATTAATTATCTCTCCTAGATTGTTGGTGGGAATACTTGTCTATTGCTTTTAAAACCCAAGTATGTATATGCTGTGTGTTATTTTGACATTTCTATGTTCTCCAATGACTGTTATGTTTTGTACTTTATAGAAAGACACTTCCACATGTCTGGCATCACTGAACAGGGCCTGCCTGCCTTGGAAAGCGTTTTAAACAGGGAACGGTACAGTTCTTGGCCTATGGCAAGAATTCTTGCTCAAGCGTTCCCCAGCTTAAAACGCTTCTAGTTTGTCGCTATAGGGGAGTTAGGTTAAAAACTATATATTTGCATTGTGGACAGTGCTAGGAATCCAATGATACCAAAATCGTTGATGTAGGAGTGGCTGATGTAAGATAGAAAATTACCCTACCCTGCAGTGAATATGTGGCGGATTCCTTGTCTTCCCTTTGCTTAGGGAGTTGGGACAGCAGCCCCATAGGAGAGGGGTTGCAGGGAGCACAGCCCACTGCTTTAGACAATTTAGTGATTGAAGGGAGCACAGCCCACTGCTTTAGACAATTTAGTGATTGATTCTGTTTACATTGGTCATATTTTATCCCCCAATTTCCCTGGTACCTTTCATGACCTCATCTGCTATTGGGGCCAAAGAAATCACCCTGGGAAAAAAAAAGAAAATTAGCCATTTTTCAAAAAATAAATAAAATCCAAAATAAACTGCATAATCATTCTGATCGTTTTGTTTTACAGAACCATCCTTTATCTAGGGAATATAGGAAGCACTTTTTTAAGGAAATATTTTACCAATTATATGTCACTTTTACAAGAAGCACGGAAAAAAAATCACTTCCTACCTTCCCTTAGACATTATTGATCTACAAAAAGAGCCATAATATGTTTATCTTGGACTGAATTTGGATATGCTACAGCATTTGGGGGAGGGGGGGATGAATTATGCCTCTGAAATAACACATGTTGAAGTTTTTTTCTCTTTTCATAATCTTTATGGCATGAACAATAAAAGGGAAAAGCATAATCTTCCATAAAAATAATTGTGTCTCATGTACCTGCATTCTGAAGTCTTGTGGAAATTGTTAACATGTAACAATGTCTCAAAAGACCCCTTGGTTAATCTAGAGGATATGGAATTTTAGTAAACAAACATAAAATGCTAATAGCAAGATACTGTATAACACCTTTGCAATTCCCTTCAATTGATCAATTTTCCCCCCAAAAAATTGTAAATATCCTATGAGAACGATTGTTTTGAATATTGAGTCATTTCATCACTCACTTTTGTACAGATAATAATGTTTATTAAGGGAAATGTGTACTTGCAAGCTTCTTTAAGAATGCAAATATATTGTAGTTTTTATTTTGGTTGTATTACAGTACTCAAGTAATCCGGATTTTTTATTTATTTATTCATTCATTTTTTAGGGAGTCATAATGGAGACTCGGGTAAAGTGTGCTAAATATGAAGACAATCACAATGAAGAAAAAGGTCTTGGTAAGTATTTTTTTTTTCTGTATTATTTGCAGTATATTGTTTAACACCTTTTCAACTGGAATCACAGAGTATGAAAGATGTTTTTTGGTTTTATGATAATGAATATTCTTTTTTCTTTTCTCTGTATTTGTAGGAAGTAAATAGATATTATACATTGTTATATTGAAGCTAATGTTTTTGCAGGTTCTGTTGTTGCTGACCACTATAATAACATCATGAACAAGGGGGTCAAAGACAGGGCAAAGAGCCGTATCTTTCATATGAGGAATTTCAATAACTGGATCAAAAGCTACCTCATAAACTACTGTCTTGAGCAGATTCGAGAGAGACAGGTAGATGACTACCCAATATCTGTGCTTGACCTTGGCTGTGGAAAAGGTGGTGATCTTCT